AAGGAAGCAAAAAGTCATTAAGGGCCCTCAGCTGTGGCCTGGCACAGTTCTCCCTTCTGCTTTCGACGAGGTCTTCGAGCTGGTGTATGTGTGGCAATAACATGTCTGCCCCACTCCCCGCCATAGTGCCTGCCACCCAGAAGGCATCTGCCGCGGTTATTTTCCTTCATGGATTGGGAGATACAGGGCATGGATAGGCAGAAGCCTTTGCAGGTATCAAAAGTTCACACATCAAATATATCTGCCCACATGCACCAGTTATGCCCGTTACATTAAATATGAAAATGACTATGCCTTCTTGGTTTGATCTTATTGGACTTTCACCAGATTCACAGGAGGATGAAAATGGAATCAAAGAAGCAACAGAAAACGTCAAGGCTTTGATAGATCAAGAGGTGCAGAATGGAATACCTTCTAACAGAATTATTTTGGGAGGATTTTCTCAGGGAGGAGCTCTGTCTTTATATACTGCTCTTACCACACAACAAAAACTAGCAGGTGTCATCGGGCTCAGTTGCTGGCTCCCACTGCGGTCCTCACTTCCACAGGGTCCTATCAATGGAGCTAATAAAGATATTTCTATTCTCCAGTGCCATGGAGATTGTGACCCTTTAGTTCCCCTAATGTTTGGGTCTCTTACTGTGGAAAAGCTAAAAACATTAGTAAATCCAGCCAATGTAACCTTCAAGACCTATGAAAGCATAATGCATAGTTCGTGTAAACAGGAAATGATGGATGTCAAGCAGTTCATTGATAAGCTCCTACCTCCCGCGGAGTGATGCCTGCTGCTAAGAGGCCTTGTGTGGAAGTACACCAGCATCAAATAGAGTAGAAACTGTTCACGTGCCTGCCCAAGTCTGAAACTTCTCGTGTTTACAGTGTTAGTGTTCTACAAATACATGCCAATGACAGACTAAATAATGTTTTTTTTCATGAAAAACTTTCAATCTTTTAAGTTTCTAGATAAGTGTTTGTATATTATGATTCAGAATATACTAGTATTAAATAGGTTAAGTACCTAG